TTTTACTTGCATCTTCACATCATATAATGTATAATTTATTATTCACATCATATAATAATAATTATATCATTCACATGATATAATGTAAGGAAGACAGATATAAGAATTATACTATTAAATACTTGTTATTTCTTCCAAAATTAATTTTCTGTGACTTCTATTGTTCTGAACCGAACTGATTGAATCGTGCATTTACATTTACGGCTTGATATGGCAGTGTCAATGGGCTCAGCAAAAAGCGTACTCCGAATAATCGGGAGCCTCTGAAAGATAGGATGTGTTACATTATTTGAATATGCTCGTGGCATGTCGTAGTAGAAGATACGAGCATACGCGAGAAGTATGTGAAAGGAAGCTTAACTGTATAGAGAGTCTTTATTCATTCTCTCTGTGTCGTATATCGTTGTAAATCACTTACGCTGTGTGCGTACAAATGCTTGATTGAGAAATTTCGGATATAACCTTTATAACATTTTTGATCGATTGCTCATAAGGATTTCAAAATTGATAACTAAATTTCTAGCAACTATTTATAGTAATTTTTTATAAAATTATTGGAATTGATATGATAAAGAAGGATTTCAAATTTGGATAATCAATGATTATTCGCAATAATTCATGTGATAAAACTTTCTCATGAGAAAATGTCAATTTAATTTATTGTCAGAAAGAAAAGTTTTTTATTGTAGCTGCTTTTAAAAGTTTATTTATTTGTTAAGTAGTCGTATATTTTTTCTAAGATATTTGATAGAAATATTATAAATTTTTAACTATGTAATTATATAACATAAATATTGAAATAAAAGAAATAGACAATTGTATCACGATAAAAATATTAGAAAAATTAGCAAATTATCAAATATAGAAGACAAAATATTTATTGATTTTATACAATTTGCTAGAATGATTACACAATTATACCGAAGTTCAAAGATATTGGAGGATGTGACGAAAAATTACAGAATAAATTAATCTTCTGAGTTCTAAGTCTTCAAGAAGATGGGTTGCAATCTAATTAAAATCGAATTGCAACAATTGATAATTCTCATTATTAATTCACTCATCCGATGTAAATTTGTATATGTAAACAATTTTCTATCGCATTTCAACATATTTTAATATTTTCCAAGTTTCGATTTAATTCTTTGATTATTCATTTTTCCTGAGACTTCCGTAAACGTTTTAGTAAAACTCGTTCCGCTCAGAAATCATTAATCATAGATAATAATCGTCAATATTACTCAAACATCATAAAACAATATTTTTCAAGAAAACGTGAAGACTCCAGCAGATATGAACGTCTCAGAAATATTTTCGATTTTTCCGGATCGTACGATCTCACGTGCGATTTGCGAAAAATTTCTCGACATTGGGTGACACCATTGCGGACCTGAGGCCGGCTACACGAGGCTCCGTTACGTAAATCGTTAAGACTTCATTGGCCGACTAGCGGACCCTTCCTCCGGAGACCGGAGTCACCTTCAATGCCTTCGATAATCGCCTCTGAATCTCAATTTATGCGCTAATCCGCTCGTACGGATATTCCCGGCCGGCTGCACGGTAAGACGTAAAATCACCGTCTCGTCATCCGCAAGAAATCGTTCAGATTCATTTACAGAGCCGACCTTGAAGCTTCTCGGTACGGCCATTACCCATCGGATTGATGAAGACATCATCCCAATGACGGAGCATAATCCCCAGTGTAATTATGAGCTAGTCGCGTCTGGATCCTTTATAGCCGCGATTACGCGATATGCGATGTGCATAGAAACGCAGTCGATTCTGATAGCACACGAGATTGCAACGCTTCGAGAAAGCCTTGAATCTTCCTGAAGAAACTTTGCTAATCCTTTTGTTTTTCGTCTCCTTGTTTTTAGTCGCCGTAATCTCGCATAGTTACACGTTCTCGCGATGTACGCATGCGACAATCCACAGAGTTGCTGACGATGCGGTGAAATAGAGGAGAATAATAAATACGTTGAAGAATAGAGGATTGCGGTGGAAAATAGAACAATAAAATGCTATTAATTAGAGATACGAAGAGATACGACATTGAAAATAATCAATGTTTGAAATTAAATTAAATAATTATATGAAAATATTAAATTAAAATCGGACAAGAATTAAATAGAAACTTAATTAAAATTCAATTAAAATATAAGATTTAATGACGATTGTAGTAAAATTAAACTGAAATGAAATGAAATTAAAATTATACAAAGAAAAGCATACACTATGAAGTTATATATTATGAAGTTATATGAAGTATTTAAAAAATTCAAAATATTCATGATATTATTTAATAGTGAACATTTATTACATACAAAGATACCGAAAGAAACTTGTACCGGTATTTATTGAAAATTATATAAAAAATTATATAAAAATTTAAAAAATTACTGACTTCCTTCGTTTTAAAAAACGTATTTTCACCCAAATTTGTATGACTCCTAGAATAGATCTTCGAACTAGATTTATTGAAATATTTATTTATAGGGTCCAGGTTCACACACATTAACTGTCCCGCAAATGAAAGCCTCCGCACCGGGAGTAAAATTTGGATGGATTCAAGGAGTGTTGATGCGATGTCTCCTCAACATTTGGGGGGTGATGCTTTTTCTGCGACTTTCCTGGGTCGTAGCACAGACCGGGATAGGTGAGTGCTTCCTCATTGATCCGTTCTTTCGATTAGTTAGATTTCTAAGACTTCAATGTTGCTAATATTGTTCCAGGCCAGGCTATTTTACTGATTCTCACAACGACAGTAGTCACGACAATTACATCCTTATCGATGTCAGCGATCAGTACCAACGGACTTATAAAAGGGGGTACGCATTAAATAACAAGATTACAATACGTACATAGTTCAGAAACAAGTTTCAGAAAGAAGAAAGAGAAAAAACTACTTTAAAAATAAAAAAAAGTGATTAAAACCGAAAATTGTTTTTTTATCGGTTTTTTTATGCAATCAATACTGCATATCTCAGACTAATTAACACTTTCATAATTGTTTGCACATATGTAAATTCGATAAATTATCATATCAATATGACAGTAGCCACATGACGGATTGAAACATACATATTTTTTTGTTTTCTCTTTTCGCAGGTGGAACTTATTACATGATTTCCAGGTCTTTAGGACCTGAATTTGGCGGATCCATAGGTCTTATATTTTCTTTAGCAAATGCTGTCGCCTGTTCCATGTACGTAGTTGGTTTTTGCGAAAGCTTGGTGGACTGCCTCCGCCCTTTTAAAGCCTGCATAATCGATTGTGCGATTATGGACATTAGAATTATAGGTTCGTTTGCGCAATTCTAATTCTAAAATTAAAACCATTATAATTTTGGTTAATTTATATTTCTCTGTCAAACATGATGTAAATGTATTCGTTGGATTTGCAGGTTGCATAACAATAGTCGTACTTTTGATAATCGTTATAATCGGACTAGAATGGGAGGCAAAGGCTCAAGTATTTTTGCTGATGATTCTTCTCGTAGCTATTGGTGATTTTATGATCGGTACTTTTATAGGCCCGAAAAGCGAGACGGAGAGAGCTCAGGGATTTATAGGATACCACGGTAATGTGTCAATATTCTTTTTTTATGCTTTTTCCTCAACAAATTAATCTTATCGTAATTAATAAACACGATTGAGTATTAATTTCATTATTTATTCATGGTTTGCAGCCGAGTTGTTCAAGGAAAATTTGCATTCAAACTATAGATACAGCGAAGGCGTGCATCATAATTTCTTTTCAGTCTTGGCCATCTTTTTCCCAGCGGCAACAGGTATCCTGGCAGGTGCAAATATATCCGGTGACTTGAAGGTGATTTAGTTCTTTTGTCTATAGGAGATACTTAGAGTTAAATGTCTGACTCACTATGTAATTTATGCGCATAATTATTGTCCATTTAATTATTTGTCAGTTTGTATATTCGATTAAAATTATCTTCTGTGGTAAATTATTTTCTTCATAAATGAATGATAAAAAAAATTTGCATGATTTGTTGAGATTAGCAAGAATTTTACATGATATGAACATGCACACGATTTTATGCTATTACCACATTTTATCTTGAATTCGACAGGATCCGCAAACGGCAATTCCGAAAGGCACGCTACTCGCGATTCTTCTAACGTCGTTGTCATACTTAATCATGGCGATTATGGTTGGAGGTACCGTTATGCGAGACGCATCCGGCAATGTTGCTGATTTATGGACGACGTATAATAACTCTCTTTTGGCTCTGTCAATGTCCGGAACAGACAATGACACTACGATCGATAACAGTACAATTATTGAGAATTTGAATCACACATCCTGGAGTGTATATGGAACGGCTTTTAATTGCACCCCCGAATGCAAGTACGGCAGCCACAATAGTTTTGAGGTGCATAAAATTATTAAGATAATTCACAAATAAGATGAAATTAAATAAAAATTACATTTGCTAAGCTTGAATAAATAATCGTTGATATAAAGACTATGTAAAATCTATAATAATTCTCCATTATTAAGAAATAATATTAGATATAAAAATTGGAATAGATAACTATTTGTAGGTGATTCAATTAGTTTCTGGTTTCGGTCCTATTATCTATGCCGGTTGTTTTGCGGCAACAATTTCAAGTGCCTTAGCATCGCTGGTCTCAGCGCCAAAAGTATTTCAAGCACTCTGCCTTGACAAATTATATCCAGGAATCTCATGGTTTAGCGGAGAGAAAGATAAGGAACCGATTCGCGGTTATTTACTCACTTTCATTATCGCTGTTGCTTTTATTCTCATAGGTAAGTGTTACGTAATTCTATAATTGTTTACCGATAAATCAGTTTCTTTCGAATATACATATATATATATATTTTTTTTTAGGTGAATTAAACGCAATCGCACCGCTGATTTCAAACTTTTTCTTGGCAGCTTACACTCTTATCAATTTTAGTACATTCCATGCTTCTTTGGCTAAGCCAATCGGATGGCGGCCAACTTTCAAGGTATCATAAAAATATAATATTTACGTTACTGAATTTCCATATATTATATTTATGCGTTATCTTCTTGATAATAACATTCTGTTCTTTTTTTTAGTATTACAACATGTGGCTCAGTCTTGGTGGTGCTATTCTTTGCGTTTCTGTGATGTTTTTGATCTCATGGTGGACGGCTTTAATAACATTATGCGTAGTCTTAGCATTATATTTAGTAGTTTCATATAGAAAACCTGGTAATTTCACACACCAAAAAATTGTTTTCACTTAAATTCTTTTTATTTTTGTTTTTTGATGCTGTTCACGAAAATATGTTACAGACGTAAATTGGGGTTCAACCACACAAGCCCAAACCTACAACAACGCATTGACCGCTGTCCAGCAATTGGACCGAGTGGAAGACCACGTAAAAAATTATAGACCGCAACTCTTGGTTCTTACCGGCCCACCCAACGCGAGATCGTCTCTCGTTGATTTCGCTCATCATATTACTAAACATCAGAGTTTATTTATTTGCGGTCATATCATCGAGGTATATTAATTTTTCCTCTTATCAATTTGATTGGTCCACTCGATAGATGATACATGTTGTATTTGTATACTTTAGATGCCCATATCATACAAAACGCGTAACAACATGGTACAAAATTGCTCTTCTTGGCTTAGGGCAAATAAAATTAAGGCGTTTTATTCGCTAGTAGATAGCTCGAATTTCCAAGATGGTGCTACTTCGCTCCTGCAAGCTGCTGGCCTCGGAAAAATGAGGCCTAATATTCTGTTAATGGGTTATAAACAAGATTGGGCTACTTGTCCCAGGGAGAATTTAAATATGTACTTCAATGTCATGCAGTAAGTCTCTCTATCATTGTAATTAAGTTTCATAGAGAGGCTAGTTTGGTAATTTTTCTTTGTATTTTACAGTAAAGCTCTGGATATGCACATAGCAGTGGCGCTTCTCCGCCTTCAAGAAGGTTTGGATTGCAGTACGATCGTCGGAGATGTCGATGATCAAAGGAGACTCGCACCTACTTCGATACCGGGCAATCAGAGTTTCTCACAACTTAGCCAAGGTTTTTCAAAAAAGCTACTATTTTTTTTGTTCTTTTAATAATTTGTTCTTTTCTGGAGAACGATGTTTAACAATAAGTGATAATTGTTGCAGCTAGTAGCACATCTGACATATCGATCCCCGGCAGTCCTGCGCCAAGACGTTCGAAAATGATCAACGAATATCCCAATCCGTCCTCCGAAGAGCAGCGCGAAAATCGACCAAATATAGTGCCAATCACGAATATACTTAATGTAGTAACAAAGTTTCAACGGAAGCATAAAAAGGGTACTATCGATGTATGGTGGCTATATGATGACGGTGGCCTGACGCTTCTGTTACCTTATATAATCAGCACGAGGCGTAATTGGTCTAACAGTAAATTAAGAGTGTTTGCACTTGCAAATAAGAATTCTGAATTGGAGTATGAACAAAGAAGGTAAATATTTCTAATCTTTTCTAAGAATAATCACGCAATATAATCTTTCGATAATTAATATTATTTTTTAGTATGGCCAGTCTTCTATCGAAATTTCGAATAGACTATTCCGCTTTAAAAGTCATACCAGACATTTCAAAGCCGGCACAAGCCGGTACAAAGACATTTTTTGATTCATTAATAGCTGACTTCCAAGAATCAGTCGATTCGAAAAATTCTGACGATGGTACGAATCATAAAACTAATAAATCTTGTTAGCACATACTATATAATAATTAGCTTTTTTCACTTCAGATGTTATTAAAGATTCAGAACTTATAGCGATGAAAGAGAAAACCAATCGACATCTTCGTTTGCGCGAATTATTACTTGAAAATTCTATGGAAGCCAATTTAGTAGTTATGTGAGTATTTATATCACGAACTTTATTATATATTGAGACAGTTTAATTATTATTAATTGATTTATAGGACATTACCGATGCCTCGAAAAGGCGCTGTATCAGCGCCTCTTTACATGGCATGGCTGGAGACACTTACACGCGATATGCCACCGTTTCTACTAGTTCGAGGCAATCACACGTCGGTTTTAACATTTTATTCATAACGTTGATATAAAACTGAATGACGAGACATTACGGAACGTCATAGTACGAAAACGACAGCATCGCAGTATTACAAGCGACAAGAAAGACTTAATCATTTGTATATGCAAAGAATTAATTCAATCAATTCTGAATGAAACATCCAGTGATACATATATAATAGTAATAAGCTAATGACAAATATATGCTTTTATCATCACGTAATGTGGGAAAGTATGTTGTGAATAAACCACTATTGAAGAATGTGCCTAATAATAAGCAATCTCTTGAAAATATTCAATCATATAATAAAACTATTATTTTTTTAAATGACTAAGATATTTCTCGTGTAATTTCAAAACATTCTGACACAATTTCTTCTTTATATGCGGTCATATTTTATAAATATCTGAAGTAAACAATGACGAAAATGACAATCATAATCTGTAGCATTATTTTATCATTTGTCATACTAACTTTTTGCTTCTTATTTTAAATATTGCTGTTTCATATATAAAAGTATTAAAAAAATGTTTTAAATGTTTGTATTGGTTTAAAAATTTAGAAAAATTATATGTATTTAAGAAGATCAACTATCTTTTTGTAAAAACTTTTATATTTCTATATATAACTTATAAGTGACAATCTTTAAATACAGAAAATAATTGTAGTAAATTCTGTAAATACTGCATAACTAATTGCATTAAAAGATCTGCTTATTTTTATGTGTGTTTTATAATCTTAATATAATATTTATAAAAACGAAGTTCCATCGTGAAAAACAGTATAAAAAGTAAATGCCAATGTTTAAAATAAAGCGAACATATACAAAAGTTATAAAAGCATTACATACGCATGCTACAATCTAACTGTTGTACAAAATGTCAAATTCATCATAGTGACACTTATAGTGTCAAAGTATATCGCAATCCTATTTCATACATTTTTACTATCGCGATATTTGTGAAGATATCACGATCTAAGAATGGTTCATGTCGCACAATGTCTCTTTTCGTACATGTACTAAGTTTTATACAGAAATTTTATATTTATTTCTGTTTAAACTTTAAATTGTGTAACTTTGTTATAACATAATTCCATATAACAACTATCAGTGCTTTTATATATTGATAACACACTTTGCGATACATTATTAAATGATAGAGACATATTTATTTCAATGTTTTGATGTGAACACGTTTCAGACTAGTTGCGAATGCGTTGCAGGAGTCAGAATACTGATAATTACGATCGCATTCTTCCCAATAGCGTAAGCCTCGCAAATGATCTATTATTACGTGTGTATGTAGTATCAGTGCAGTCTTAATTATAAGTTGAATTACAAGTTAATTTTGATTCCACATATCGTATTAAAAATCAATATTCCAACCCCACATATATGTATATATTGTATATATATATTAAATCGGATTTGTGTCATATTATGTTACGTGCCATATTTGTAAAATTCAATCCTGTTTAGGACTATGAGATGTAAATGTAGCCTTACTTTATAACATATTTTTTGGATATCATAGGAAAAAAGTTGCATAAAATAATAAATACAAAAAAATGCGTGAAAATATTAGAACCTAATAATCTATAGCTGGAAATGAAAGTATAAAAAGAATGTTTAAATAAATGTCAAATATAGATTCTCTTGCGACAAACATAAACGTAAATACAATATAAAGTTTGAATATATTACTTTTCTACTCTAAATATATAAAAATTATACATATATGTATATATATATTAATCTCTTCAAATACTTAATCTTGCAAGATATAAAATGATATAACTTTTTAAATTAATTTAAAAAATACTTATCAAAATGTCAGGATGACGTACCGTCATTGTCATGCATTGCGTCGTATTGCTCCACAGATTTGGTGAGAGAAGAAAATCTGGATTTATGTTTCATGTCATGGCGATTAGCACTAATAGTGGCATAGATTGCGATTACATCGCAAGATAGAGAATATTCTTCTTTCTCATTTAAATGCTACGGATGTGTCGCGGTCTGCGCACTAACAAGCAACAGGAGGACAAACCGGAGCTAACTTTCGCCAATTCAGACATTCGCAGCGATCTAGTCGGAAACTCCACCTCGGCGAATACTTTACTCGATTGTGGGATCTCATCCTCTGATCGATGAATGAGAGTACCGTTCACATAAAGCACATTGGCAGCTACATCCTCGGGTACGGTTAATGTTTGGTAACTGTATGTTGCCTCTCGCTCGATTCTCTATATTGTAAAAATCAGACAATCAAAATTTTGTTAAATTAATAAAAAAAATTTATTTAAAATTTATTTAAAAAAAAATTAAAAGTCATTTCATTTCATTTGTTATATAGCAAATCTAAGAGAAAGTAAATTTGTTATGAACGTTGAATTTTGGATTTTGTTATGAATTTTAGAATAATCTGTCAGTTTATATTATGTAATAATTTATATAAAGAATAACCTTAAGAACTTCTTGAGATTCTTTTCCGGCTCCTACACATATAAGATCTGGGCCAGCCATTGTAACCAGTGATTTCAAGCGTTTGGATTCAGCCACCTAAGCATAGAGATATCGAATTACTATCTCGAAATTATAGAAGAAATTAAACAAATATTGTAATATTTCTTCTTATTATATTATTTGATCAAATTATAAAATTATTAGGATATTTATCAATTAAAAATTATCTTATGAATT